CTTAATTGTCAGATTTATTTATTTATGTGACAAAATCGCTAAACCATTCAGTTGTAACGTGAGATGAACACAAGCACAGAAGAAAGCAACGGGCAAATTCTTTCATAAGCTCTTCTTGGATGCCTGTTCGGAGTGTGTATATCCAGCCAGATTTTTGAAAGAAAAGAATCGGTCTTCTTTCCTTTTTTCAATGTAATTCGTTATTAAGACAATGATTTACCTCGAGCGAAATCGAGTCAGGGGTCAGCCGTTCCAAGCAGACCTCCTAGACACCGTGCCAACATGCTACAAGGATAATTGGTGACCTGATGTGTCCGTTATTCATGGCGCAAATTTGTGTCTTATAAATCACAGCAGCGTTTGCATTCTATTGGATATAAGTGTTTGCATCTAACAGATTAACAAATCAAACATGACACCGTTTCACTGAATGAAGGAATTAACAGGTTCACGAACTGAACCGCCGATGTATCCCATTTATTGCATGTTTCAGAATTTTTAAAATTCTTCTCATCAGTGAAACAATTAATGTTGTATTGCTACTTTCAGTTAGTATAATGTAGTTGATGAACTGCTGCGCTAGGCAGGTACTGTCGTATTAACGGTAAGTATCATAATGATAGGTTACTTGCAGAACCAGAATGAAAATCAGTTAACCATTTAACCTGTCGCCGCTGATGGTGACCGTCAGAAAGTTGCAAACGGCAACCTTCTCAAGCAGAAGCTTATCAAGATGTAATTTAAGCAGTAAGAATGCTTTATTACAGAAAATGGTTTTTCTCCTTAATATTCATCTACAGAAAAGGCTGTACGGGAACGACACCGCCAGAGGGAGCTTAGAGTCGGAACTCGGAATATATCCTCACTGAGAGGGAAAAAGTACCAGTTAGTCGATGAAACTGAAAGGAATCAGCACGAGTACGACATACTTGGACTCTCGCCAATGAAATACAAGGCATTGGGATTCCAGATTTCTTGGGGTGGAAGCTATTTTGCTCAGGTGTCGACGTCACGTCGAGCGCTCAGGCCGGTGTGATGCTCTGGTATAACCTAACCTGGTTGATAGAATCACTGAATGGAGGTCTGCCAGCGAATCAATTGCAATCTTTCCATCGAAACAGCAGCAGGCTAAAGCGCTGACTCTGTAACAGCTCTAAGCGTTCAATTTCGAGGGAGAGTGTGATACCGTCCTTGACGAAGTGGAGGGTGCTCTCTGCGAAGTGCGAATACGGAGTGTCTCATTCTCATAGGCGATTTTAAGGCGCATGTCGAAGTAAATGCTGAAAACTGGAAAGACGTGATTGGAAAACATGGCTTAGCGAACTCATCAACAACAGCGCGAAGTTGTTTTGGTTTTGTTGCGGACTCTCCATTGCGAACACCTTCGAGCATCGAAGGGTGCATCAGTATACCTGGTACAGGAAAGCTGGTGCACAAAAGTCGACATTGGATTTGATAATCCTATCGTCTGACTTACGACGCACAGTAATGGATGTTCGCGTTAAGAGAGGCGCAGAGCTATGAACGGCCTACTGCCTTCTTGTTGGCACACTGCGCTGTAAGAAATGGAGTACCATAAGAAGATCTGGTGGCAGAAGCAACCAGAGAATTAAACCGCTGACGTGGTAACCGAATGGCAGCTTTTTAAGCGCGGCATCCTCGAGGCTGCCGCCGAATGCTGCGGATTTAAAAGCGTTAACCTGCCGCCTGGAGGTCAGAACAGAACCTCGTGGTGGACGCGAGAGAGTACAGCTGACAATTAAAGAGAAGAAAGCTGCATTCAATAAATTGTTTGGATGCAAAGCGACCTCAACTCGCATCCGGTATGAAAATGCACGCAAGATGGCAGCGAAACTTGATTCTTGGAGGAATGAGGAGTTGGAGTCGTATTTCCAGACGAATTAAATAAGGTATTCTGATGACCATCAGCTGGTTACAAAATTAAAAGAAGGACAGTATTAGAGACTTGAAGGACAGGTCTGGACACCCTCTTGCCAAGGATGGCGAAAAATCTTGGGCGATGGAGAAACTCTAAGGAACTCCTTAACTGCAAGCAACCGCAGCAAGACTCTTCTGTATAGCAGCAGGGAAACAATATTATTATTTATTTAGGTGAAATCGTAAAACCTGTGGGAAGGTTTAAAAACGAAAAAAACTGATGGAATTGATGAAATCTGCCGTGAAATGCCTAAAGCATTAAGCGAACAAGGCATGTGCTGGTTTACGCGTGTCAAACTGCAAAGACTATGGAACTGAGAGCAAACTGGAAACAGGGGCTGTAGTACCCTGTTCGTGAAGGGAGACCACAGGGAGTCCTCCAAATTTCGGGGCATTACCTCCCAGGCAAAGTCTACGCAACGGTGCTAGGGAGGAGGTGCCGCGAAATAGTTGACCTCAAGATACAGAAAGAGCAGGGTAGCTTCCCGCCCGGTCGAAGCATTTCTGACCGTATATTTGCCCTGCGCCAGATTACTGAGAAATCGTGGGAGTATGTCTGTCCGGTGTACAAGTGTTCTGTTGACCTAGAAAACGCGTATGACAGGATCCATCACAATATTTTATGAGAATCGAACTGTGTGAACATACGGGATCGATAGTCAGTTGCTACGAGCTACTCAATCACTGTATGTTGATAGCAGGTGGTGCGTCAGGCTGAATGGCGTTAAGTTAAAGCCTTTCAGCTTTGGCAGTGGTCTCGGCCATAGCTACGTTCTGTCTCATCTCCCGTTTGTGTTTTCTTTATATAAGATATTCAGTCGCCGCCAAGGGGACGAGCTACTGATGTAAGGGACGCCGAGAAGTAAAGGTTCACCACTTTTATTCGCATCTTTTGAAACTGATCTACAGTTCTCCCTAGAAAGGTTCACGGTCGAGTGCGACGTGACCGGCATGCGTGTGAACTCATCTAAAACGAAAAGCCTAGTGCTGTCTCGTTCTCTTTCCCGTTGTACTCTTCAGATTATCGGAGTGGCAGTGGAACAAGTGGAGAAGTTCAAGTACTTCAAAATCGTGTTTACACGTGATGGAAAGTTTGATTAAGAGATCGACGAGCGGATTAGAGTAGTCAGTGGCATTCCGCCTGAACTAGCCGAATCATTGAAAAGCAGAGCTGAGTCTGAAGAAGGTTAAGTTCTCGCTATTCAAGTCGATCTTCATCCCCATGCTTACCTACGGTCATGAGTCGTAGACCATGACTGAAAAATTTATATCCCGAGTGCAACCGGCTGAATGGGAGTTTTAAGACAAGTCCCCAAGTATTATGCTTCTGGGCATCGCCTGAAGAACAAAAATATGCGCGAACCTTGCGTCAAAGCCGCGGCTACTTCAGATTCAAAAGTTATGTCTGCGATGGTTTGAGCAAGCGTATCCCTCCTGAACGGAGGGCGAGACAGCTGGGTTATCTCCAGCTGACCATAATAGGCCCTGGGGACGGCCAAGATTATCTTGGCGCAAATATATGTAAAGAGTTTGCTCTGGACTTTGGTTGCCTTCTGTGCAAGTTCTCTTCTGACCGTGGCACATGATCTGAAACGTTAGAAGCACTGCCTGGCGCGTGTGCCTCCGCGACCCGAAAGAGAAGTGGCCATGGAGGATGATGATGAAGACAATTAAGATATTCACAAGCCATTGCATTGAAGACGGATCCGGGTGCCGTTATCGTTCGTGTCAATTATACAAAGAGATCCTAGGAATACATGCGGTTCATAATTTTTCTTTAAAGTTTGCGTTGAAATAACCCAGAACAGTCAGAAATGGTGTGTTGGATACTGTTGGACAAAAGTTTTGCTTTACTGTCTCTGCCACAACTTCGGCTGGGCATGACAACAGTGAAACCGTGTAACCACGACCTTTGTACCCGTATATAAACGCCGCGACCATGATTCGGTCAGATACCTCGCTCCAGTTAACAAGAACTACTTCTGCATTTCTAGTGACTGCCAATGCAACATTGTCTCAAGGGTAGGGCATTCTGTTGTATTCTCCCTAAAATTTATAGTTAACATCGGACACAACGCTTTTGTGTTGCAACTGTATGCAACTCTGATCGTCTACCGTCAGGATTGTCAGTCCAGTACTGTTTGATGTTCGAAAGTTATACGTGGCAAACTGTTTGACACTTAGCCTTGAGAGATGCTCCTCGCTCGGCAGTTTGTCCAAATTCATATTCATGGCTAGTGAGATCTCAGCAAACCTTAACAGCGAACTCCAGTCCAAATAGCAAATTCTTTAAGTTTTGAATAACCAGAAATGTATCCGTTGAGTGAGCGATTGGCCCACGACAGCTTCACCAGAGAACTGTTAGCTGTTCTTTACAGGTTTTGACAGCAACCGTTGCGGCTGAGTAGAAAGCACTCGATCGTACGTTTCCCCTCCCAGCATTTCCTTAAGGAGGGTTTTGCCCGGTCCTCCTGACTGAGACAGGAAGTCAGAACTTGAGGACCATTTATTTATTTTAGACGTAGAAAACATACTGCCTACACTGTCTTAACGTTTTGTCCTGAGAAAAAATTAAACTCCTTGCGTTTCCCTAAAACTGTTCTGGTCATCGCCGTCTGTGACAGAAACGTTCTCTTCCTCTATCGTTATCACTTCGTTGTGCCGT